AGAGAGAGAGAGAGAGAGAGAGAGAGAGAGAGAGAGAGAGAGAGAGAGAGAGAGAGAGAGAGAGTGAGAGAGTGAGAGAGAGAGAGAGGCGAGATATACGTGGCATCTGCGAGTGAGGGACGAGGGTGGGAGTGATGCGAGAGACGTACCTGGTGCTTGAAGCGTGCGACATTGGTCGCCATATGCTCGTACTTCGGGAATACTGTTAATGTCATCTTTCAGCTTCATAATGTAGGCTAGATAGGATCTGCCACATGTAGTCTGGGTGCCGAGCGCCAGACAGGATATCGACTCTGGTTCTTCGTTGATGATGATGGGATTAGTTCAACATCGCTTGGTGTGTTCTTATTTGGTGATTCTCGCAATACAATGTTGCTGTTGGTTCGGGGTCAGGATTATCTGGACTCATATGTACGATGCTGTTTGGTTGAGTTTTGATATTATTATTATTATTATTATTATTATTATTATTATTACAGAGGGAGGAAGAGAGAAAGTAATCTATGATGGGAACTTGCCTGATTGGTTGAGGCAAGATCTGTTCGTGCTTGGGAGGTTGCTGTCGTTATCATTCGACATTGTAGTATAGGCTATCTAGGATCTGTCATCTCTAGTCTGGGCGCCATGGCTAGGATAGCACTAGAGAGAGAGAGAGAGAGAGAGAGAGAGAGAGAGAGAGAGAGAGAGAGAGAGAGAGAGAGAGAGAGAGAGAGAGAGAGAGATTGGGCGGAGGCCAGGGGTACTTACCTGTAGCGCTGTTGCTCCAGCTTCGTCTTCGAGGTACCTGTAGCACAACACCAACATCCCAGGTTAGTACCTGGCTCGTAACAGAGAAAAAAAGTTCTTATTCTTCCCCTTATCAGTCCACCATCTCCTTCTCCCCCTCTCATCATCAGACTTCACCGCATCTGTGGACTACGAGAGAAGAGAGAAAGAGCTTGGTGACGTCGGATCCAGACTCGACTTTATGATTTCAAACACTGCAACGAGGGATTATTGGGACTTGTGACAAAGACTTGGTGATGACGACATTCTCATCTCTCTCTCTCCTTTCGTCTGTCTCCCTCCTCTTCGTCTGAGTATGTCTGGATCTGGCGTTTTCTCCCTGTGTACTGCGTCGGGTTCCTTCACGCATGATGATGGATACAATGTATGTTTTAGCCTGCGTTCAAACATTGATTGGGCTAGTCATTTGCATTCTAGCACTCTGGTCCGCTATTTAACACTATGAGAACAGGGTCAGTCCTAGTCAGATCAGGCCTTGTATCTGAGTCTTCCCTGCGCTATTCAGCACCGTTTTGTATGTATTAGAATGCACATCGCTAGTTGAGATTCTACTTGCACAGCATTGTCCATTCAATCCTTTTTTCACATTGCGGATCCTCGGTTTCTATATGCATCGCCCAACTGGGCATGTAACAGATGCAGACAGGGAGGGGAACGGACGGATACAGGCATCCTAAACGAACACAAACAATCAGGCAAACGCAGTTGGATCAAAGATCCGATGGACACAGTCGGACCGACGATCCGACAAAAGACAGTCAGACAGACGGACCGACAGACACAGATGCAGACGTGCAAACGCAGACATACACGCGCTTACCTTGCACTAAACTACAACTATGGCAGTCGTGGCTGCCTCTACCCGAACACTATACTACGCTCCTTCTCTCTCGCTCACTTCACCTCCGGGCTTCCTGCAGACCACCTCGTACAAGTCTC